GTTTTTTTTTATTGGTGTTCAATTTGCCAACATACAGAATAACACCCAGTGCTCATCTCGTCCTGTGCCCCCCTCAGTGCCCGTCACCCATTCACCCCCACCCCTCGTCCCCCTCCCCTCCCACTACCCCTAGTTCATTTCCCAGAGTTAGGAGTCCCACCCATTTCTTCTCCCTTCCCTTCTATTCCCTTTCACTATTATTTATATTCCCCAAATGAATGAGAACATATAATGTTTGTCCTTCTTCAATTGACTTATTTCACTCAGCATAATACCCTCCAGTTCCATCCACATTGAAGCAAATGGTGGGTATTTGTCATTTCTAATGGCTGAGTAATATTCCATTGTATATAGATAAAATGTTTTGAACATATTGATGACTTTCCTGTCAACAAAGACAAGAAAGGACAGTTATGCAGTCCTGCAGCAGTGTGACGACGGCTGGTTTGTGGGTGTCTCTCGGAGGACCCAGAAGTTTGGGACATTCCCTGGAAATTATGTAGCTCCAGTGTGAGTCGTCTCCGTGGCAACTCAGAGCCCAGCCAGGATGGAGTGCGGAGCAGTAGCACTTACAGGAAGGAAAGAGGATCCCCCTCCATCCTCTCCCCAAGACCCGAGCTGCTGGCATCTGCAGACTACCCCCCCAGCAACCGATCTTTGGAGCCCCCGTCAAAGCCCCCTGGAACGCTTCCCACCTACAACTCACAAACATTCCTCTGGCAGCCTTTTTATTCCCCCCCCACCACACCCCTCAAATATAGAGGTCTGCTTTGAAGTGGAGACTGTTTCCAGGCCTTATTGAGACCAGACCCTGGAGCCCCGCTCCCCCCTGCCCTGCTATGGCGTTTCCTCTAACAGGTACTGGCTCCCAGCTTCACCCCCATGGGGTTCCTCTACCCAGAACCAGCTTTCCTAACCTAACAGAGACCAAAGGCCGCCTCTGCCTCGGGCAGGGGGGGGAGGCAGGGAGGAGTCCTCCTCTTTCACTCCAACTTGCCAGCTGCCCCATTTGTCTTCCTGCTTCCAGCTGGGCTTGGGAGTGAAGTGGGAGAGAGACCCAGCACCTCCTTAGTGCCTAAGCCCTGGCAAGAGGCCTTGCCTGAACGCCCCCTCTTCCCAGAGGCTGCCCAGACCTGGGCCTGGGCCGTGCGTGTCATCGTGTTGCTGCAGTGCCCAGGAAGGGCTGAGCCTCAGAAAACTGGCTGCAGCCCCAAGTGTTTTCTGGGGAGACTGAGGTGTGCTGCCCTCCTGTCTCACCCGCTCCTCCAAACCCCCAAATCCCCCCTGGAAGAGAATATAAAATAAATCTGGATACCAGGGGGAAAAAAATGTCAGGATTCAAAGGAGGATGAAGATATGAGGAATAATGGTGGTGGGGAGAAGTATTTTGATTTGAGGATTCCATTTAAAGCACTGACTGGATTATTTAGTGTCCAAACTGTTCCTTGTTTTCTAAAGACCTGTTCAAAGTCTTGATGTTCCTGTCCTCAAAAGAAAAGACATATTGAACTAAGGAGGCCTCATCGACAGGATCTGTGCGGTCACTGCAAAGACAAGAGATTCTCCTGTGGCAATACTTACAGCTTTAAATACATCATGTGACAGGCAGTATGAATTGTACAGGACATCCAAATTCTCCTTGTAACTTAGCTCTGACTTGGCATTGGAAAATGGATTAGGTTTTTGTAGTTTTTTGTAGGTTGTATAACAATTGTACAATGTGAATAGAATAAAATAAATGCATGTAAAAAAAAAAAACCTCCAGAGCTGGCAGGATGGAGAGTGCACACCAAAGGCAGCCTCCTGCATAATTCAGCGGCATTTTGGGGACAGCTTCCACGCTGGGCTGCCCTTCACCCGCTCACTGGCTGTAGGATGGCACTGGGGAGGTCTGGATGGATCTGATTTGTGTAGGAGTTCCCTGTAGATAAATTACTGATCCCCCAACTACTACCCCCAGTATGTAATGGCTGAATTAATATGTAATCAACTGCATTGTATCTAAAGCCTTAGAACTAGTCAGGTGCTCCCCCCACCCAGTACCATTTCTTACACTCTAATCCTACCTGATCTTTAACAAAGCATTAATAATTCTAAGGATAAATTCTATTTTGTTGTGCTTTTTTGTAACTGTTTTGAATAAATCAAATTGTACTGTATGTTTGTACTTTTGTGAGATCTTTTTTGCTGTTTTACCATTTTAAGTCTCTGTACTTGGCTACACACAGATTGTATTTTTATTGTTAATGCTCTTCTTATGGATACCCGCATTTAACTTGTGGACTATGTAAACACAATATATATCAATATCTATATATCTATCCATATAAACTACTAGCTTTTCAAAAAAATTCTGTTTCAGTTGTAAATATTAAGCTGTACAATAATGGAAGGTTTATGACCCCACACCTGTCAGGACTTCAGTCGTTCCAACTACTACAACATTGCAGGAAGAAATGACCAATGACAAAATAATACAAGTATGTTTAAGTGGAGGGCAGTTTGTGTTTTTATCTCAGGTTCTGGTTCCAGCAGAACTGGGAAAGTGGGACCCCAGCTCCTCATTCTAGGAGGTCCTGAGAGTCATCAGTTCCTGTATTCACATCTCAACTGAATGTGGCTCCAGTTCCTCTGAATTTGGATCAGGATTTCTCCCCAGAAACAAGTCTGCATCTGTAACAAACCAACCAAAGCTCTGTCAGGTGGCAGCAATGGACCTCTCAATCCATGGATCCCTGAGTAAAATAGGTCTTGTTTAAATACCCTCTGTGAAAAGGAGGACCAAACCAGGGAAACAGCCCAGAAAACACAAGGGACTGTGCTTCTTACCGACCAGCACATCCCAGGGGGAAGCCACCTAGAGACCTCTCCTCAGCACTCAGCCCAACAAGGTAGCTTCTGCCTCCCACCTAGGGAGACACCAAGTTGCCACAAAGTTCCCAAGGTCTCCCTGGGTGGGCGTCAGAACCTGCTGGAAAACCAGCTCTAGCTCTCTGAGAAGCTGCGTGGTAGTCCTCTGATTCCATTGGAAGCCCTTCCTGCCATGAGACACCCTGGACCAGAAAAGGCCATGGCATGCCCTCTGCCAGCCTTTGTTGACACATATGTGACAGTTAAAATGCAAACCTAAAGGCAGCTACACATCCAATATGAATTTACCGTGTGAATCCTTAGATATTTGCTTTGCAAAATGCTCTAGATGTGGCAGATGGATGAAATCATCTCCATCAATTCTTATAAGGAGCCAATTTTACCTTCAAATACTAATTTCCATCTCTTCACAACCAGAAGGCTCAATGGAGTAAGAAGATTCTGTTTGAATATAGGAGAAGCCTATGGGATTTGAAACTGTGCCCCTCCCAACCTTCAGTGGACATGAGAATAGCAACCCCCTATCCTGCTGCACACTGCTAGCTCCAGAGGAAGAACACAGAACTCATTCGAGAATATTTTTGGTTGAGATCAGCACTGGATCTGTGCCAGTTCCGGGTTGCAGGACCTGGGACAGCACAGTGCCTGGGGCCTGGTTCTAGAACATGAGCAAGGCCTAGATGGGGCAGGAGGAATGCTGCAGCGCATGGAACAGGCAGGGAGATGGCTCAGGGTCACCTCCCCACAGGGCAGGCTCTGGAGATTACCTGCCAAAGAGCAGCATGCTCTCCCTCAAGCCATCTTTCTCCCTGAGAGAGCCTGAGGCTGGGCCCCAAAACCCCAAGCAAAAGGAGGTGTACCCATCTCCTGAACTGAAATGACCTCTGCAAAGCTCAGCCCCAGGAAGGTGGGAGCAGTGGACTCAGGGAATCTGATGCCCAGAATTCCTGCCTCTACTGGTCCCAACACTCAGATGCCCTACATAGGCTCCTCCATCCTCGTCCATGGTTCCCCCTCCACACCCCTGGACGAAGAACCTCCATTCCTCCTTGTAATTCCTCTTTGCTTCGGCTTCTCCTTACCCTGTCTCCCTCTTCCTTCCTCTCACTTTAGGACTTGCCCCATTCCCCCACCACTCACTCAGTGTCTCTCTTCCTGAAAGTCTCTTCCTCTGTCTCTTCCCAGGCCCTCATGCCTTCTGCTCTGTGCAGCCCTGTCTAGGAAAACGGGGAACCACATCTCCTCTCTTTCCTGGTCTCCTGCCATGTTTCAGTCCACACCCTGCTCCCAGGGCATGACCATCCCATTTACAAAGGCTGCTTAGGCTGACCTTGGCTGCAGCAGTGAGGTCACCAGCCACCCGTGGACAGCCCTTGGACAGAGAGACCTTGACATGTTGGTGGCCCAGCCATGATCCTCAAGCTGCTGCAGGATGGCTGCCTCCACAGCCTGGAAAGGAGGGCTCTGCAGGATCATGGAGCTCTGGTGCAGAATGGATTGGCATTGAGGACCTAAAAAGACCCAGAAGCACACACCCAACTCCTCCTGCATGGTGGGGGAGCAGTGGGTCTCCCATCATTGACCTCTTAGGGAAGAGGCCCATTCCTCCATAAGGAAACTGGCAGGATTATGGGACTTCATGGGTATTACCAAGAAAACTGCCACTGATCAACCCCCTCAGAGCTCACCCAGACTGGTGCTGTTGAGGGGTAGCTGGTAGGGGGAAGCCAGTGCACAAAACTTGCCTTAATGCAGGGCCTCCTCACCAGTCTCACCAGGGCCATTCCTAACCCTTTGTTCAATCCTCACCATCACAATAGACTACTGCCTGGGGACAGACATCTGTCCTGCTGATCACCACACACCTCCTAAACCAGCAAGAGCCATGTGCTCAGGAACATCCATCAACAGAGTAAATAGAACCACCAACAGATCTATATACAAGATGAGTCTACCTCCCCAGAAGGATTTCCTTCCTAGGCCCCTTGCAGGAAAGATCCCACAAAGAGTAATCTTGTGGCCATCCGCCATCACTACCATTTCTGCCAGTTTGTTTACTGTGTATGCAGGATTCACTTTACGCACTCAAGGGGAGGGATGGTAGGTCCTGGTGAAAGCAGACACTGACATGAAGAAAGAAACATGAAACGTTTATTAGGGGGATACCAGGAGTGACAAAGCACAGGGGACAGGATTGAAAGGGGAAACACTCTGACCATTAGGCAGATCTGACACATGTTCTAAATATACACTCTTCATAGCCTGGTTGTTACTGCTCAGGGAGGTCTTCAAATCTGAAACAGTCCTGTAAGGCAAAAGGATCGTGAGTTATTTCAATGGGATCTTCTGTTTTGCTATATGCATTTTGCCTTCACAGTATATGTGAGGCTTTGGGTCAACACTTGCATGTGTGGCTGTCAGTGGGACCAGTACAGGAGCTGGTCCTCTTGTATTCACAGGGATCTGCAGAACAAAGGTATGTTGCCATGTCAGTTTGAAGGATAATGCTCTCCAGCCTGAAACCCAATAGTAGGTATAATACCATGGTTCTTTGTTCACCCTCAGCTTCCAGGAGAGCAGAGCACCAGGGCCAGGAACCAGAGGCCTCCCATTTGATGCCACTACATAGTTCAGGGGCAAGGGAAGGATGCTAAAGGAAAGAACTTAGTATTCCCACACATCACCAAACATCTCTGAGAAGATGGGACTTCAAAGCATCTTGTCCTCCCAGTTGAATAGAAGCCATGACAATCAACTCAAAAGGAGTATATTCCAGACAGGCAGGAATTTGTGGCCAGGCCCACTCTGTTCCCACGTCCAGCGCAGCCACAGAGGGTTATGTATACTCAATAAGCACAAACACTGTGAAAGGAAATGGGAAGCCCAGTGTCCACACATAGAATCACAGCCTCTCATGGGTCAAACTGCTGCTGCCAGCCCCCTCCTGACCCCACTCTGCTTCGCTCCCTGAGAAGGGGTCTTCTACTGCCCACAGTGCTGTTCATGATGACAGATAACGCTGGAAAGATGTACATTTCTGGAGTCCCACAGGGAACCTGGAAAAGTGCTTTCTAAGAGGACCACAATCCCTACGAGTGAGTGGGAACCACCTCTGTAGATCTGCATCACCATTGATCAAATGATCCTTAGCTTAGGCACAGAGCAAGTGCAGAGTCCTTCAGTGCCAAGGACCACTGAGGAGCTGACTCTACATCACTGGATGCAAACAAATGTGGCTGGAGAGTAGGTGTGAAACTCCCATGGTGGGTCAGGGGAGACCCTGTCAGCTGGCACAGGTTCTCAAATGAGAACCCATTCACAGGCACACAACAGAAAACATGGGTGAGGTTTTGGCCCTGCAGGTTGTCACTGGTTTTCCTTCTTCACAGCTGTTGGTCCCATGGACATTTTCTACTACACGTATGTCACCTGGCAGAGTTCACAACTGTCTCACCCAGGACTCACCTGAAGGGATTCTGGGTTGTCCCTACCCCCACGGAAGAAACACAGATGACTTGGGAATCCCACCTTACCTAAGAACACTCAAATCTTCCCAAAGCACCAAAGCACGCAGTACAAAGTGCAGACTGACTCATAGCTTTTCACATTTCCCAGCTGTGAGGAACACCAGAGACATATTCCCAGGTTAGTCTCTGGACCTGAAAAACCACAAGGCTGCCCCTCCCACATAACCAAAAACTAGAGGAGTCAACTAGACTGGCAGACTTTAGTGCAGAGAGAGGAGTCACCATCAAGTTATTTTTAGACACATACACACACACACACACACACACACACACATACACGGTGTGCATCCTGCAATCGTTCATCTCTAAGCATCTGTGGCTTCAGGAGGCACCACCTACGGTGAGGATCTCTAATGGAGAAGCCTATAGGCCCCTGGGAAAACATCCTGAATTTTGAAATGTGAACATGCCTCAGACAGATCACAGGATACACCTAACAGACACTAGGCCAGGACAGGGTGCTGTCCAAAAAGGAATAATCTTCCAGAAGTGGCTACAACAGAAAAATCACACAGCATTTATCTTAGCCATCTCTAGGTCCTTTTTAGGGATGGTAGTGCTATTCATCTCAAGAACTGGTCTAGATTCTAAATCTGACAAAGAATGAAAGTTTATTGTGGTTTGCGCACCCTCTATGCCTTCCTCCCCCATCTTGCACTCTTTCTCACACTCAGTCCCTTATCAGAATAGATGGCTTCCCACATGACCCAAGTGACTATTTTGCTAAGGGAGATACCATCACGTGATGTTAGGGAGACACTATAGGGCCCAGGTTAAGTGTTTCCATAAGGAATCAACCAACAGAGGACAGCACAGGGTACAACTGGCGGGAAATCAACACTGAAATTCGGTTATCAAGACACATCAAAGAAAATCATGTTTTCTTCATAGATTAATAATTGAACTGAGAATAGCCATGGGTGGGTACCCCCATGGGTGGGATATCAGTGCATCCTCCAAATGAGTGGCATGCATTCTCTTCTCAGGCCACAGGTTGATGGTTCAATATTTCAGTCTACAGATGAGGCCTAGCATATGCGACTGGCCATTACAGAAATATTTAAGGAATGTACTTAGCCAATTGTATAGTCATGAGCAAAGAAAAAATAGGTGGATTTAGCAGTAAAGCTGCGGTGTTCTACTCATAACATTAAAGGAATAAAATTACATGAACTGATGAATGCAGTACTGTAGATTCCAAATAAAAATAAAATATCAGAAAGGAATACAGAACATAAAGACTCCTAACTCTGGGAAACGAACTAGGGGTGGTGGAAGGGGAGGAGAGCAGGGGGTGGGGATGAATGGGTGATGGGCACTGACGGGGGCACTTGATGGGATGAGCACTGGGTGTTATTCTGTATGTTGGTAAATTGAACACCAATAATAAAATTAATTCATTAAAAAAATAAAGGAAACTCCATAAACAATAAATAAAGGTCTTTTTTAAATAGTCTTTTTTCCCCAAAAAAAGTCTTCACCACTAGTTCAAGGTGGGAAGAAGCTCAGGACCATCACCCTTCCAGGTACATTTCTTCAGGATGGAGTGATGGAGGGAGTAGGAGGGTCTGCAGTCAGGGGAGGGGTGGGAGCTCCAGCTGTCATGGGGACAGGTGCCCTGCGGCCTGGGGGCACCTGAGGAATATACCCTCCTGTTACCCCTTCAGACAAGCTGCTGTCCTTAGGTAGTGCTTGTGATTCTCTCCAGGACACACAAAGATCACCCACAGGAACTGGAAGGACGCTGAGTGGTGGTTCATAGCAGCAATTGGGCTGCTGCACTTCACAAAGTGCCCCTTACCTCTCCCTGGAGGGTTCTGCGTCTCAGGTCTTCCCGGAATCAGCTCCTGCCTCCTGTGTCTCTCAGGCAGCATCTTTCTTCCAGTAAGCCCAGTCTTGAACAGATAATGGATATATATAAGAATCACAATACCAGCAACTCTCTTGACAATAAACAGCATAGCCGTCCTCCCACAAATGCCCGTTACAACGTCTGTCAACCTCCCGTACCTGTGTTTCAAGTAGGCTTTCTCCCTGCTTTGCTGCGCTATCTCCCTCTCCCAAAACCGAGCCTTGACCTGGGGGAGAAAAACATCTCCACCTTCAGTTGTGCCAGACTGTGCACCAAACAAAGAGGATGAAAAAGCAACCACTTACCCAGTTGTCTTGAGCATTCTTCTCATGAACTGCGATCTGAAAAAGCCAGCACACCAAAAGCCCATGGTTAAGGACTCGAGGAGCCACTGCTGTCCCCTGCAGGAGGTGCCAAGGGTTCATTACATTGGGCAGAGCTCAGGTTACCTGGTGTCTGAAGGTCAGTTCTGACTCCTGCAGCTGTTCTTGCATTTCTTGGACTTGTTGCCTGTGAGTTACAATAGCTTTCATCAGATAAAGCCCATTATTGGGTAGGATTTTAAATAACTGGCCCATGTGGCCATCCTCCTCTTATCTGTCCCCTCATCCAATTTATCCTGGCACAGGAAAACACTTATCACATGATTACAAATGTACAGTTGGATCAAAGCTATTGTTACATCCTTCCCTTACTCACTTTGTCACACCTGCAGGGTTCAGAGTTGATATAATTTCCTTACCTGTCTTCAATCATTCCCTAATTTATCCTGTGACAAGTGTCTTTTGTCATAAAGCTCTTCTCTCCTTTAAGTTCTATCCTTACCATGTTTCCCAGGGTGGCAAAGACCAGGGCCATCAGATGGCACTGCTGTGTTTTGGGTATGATTCAACCTACAACAAACTGCTTTCCTAAAATGAAGACAATTTACACCACCCTCGGGGACACTGGTGTGGATGAATTTTCCACAGAGTCAGGCTAGCGCTGGAGATCAGGGCATGTTTAGTAATGTAATTGTGTGGTCGTCTCTAAAACTTCTATTTTTGTGTCTGTTCTCATTGGATGTCCTATGAATTTTTCTTTCCATTACTTGTTAATTGAGTCTAAATGTTGTACCAGGGTTAAAAATAAAGAGTTAACAGATATTTCAGATGCTGCTAGTATTTAATAGCTGAACTCACTTGTATTTGTCTATTTCTTCTGTGGCTACTTTCAAATTTTTCTCTGTAGCTGACAGCTGATTCTTCTTTGCCACCAGTTCATAGTGTGTCTTTTTCAGTTTCCTAAAATGGGAAAGGTATTTACATAGTCCAGTAGTCAAGGCCTGCAAGCTCTGTAGTTTTTTCTCCCAGGACTCTTGATGGCCTAGATTTGAATGTCCCTTCTCCCCTCCCCGGCCAGTAAACACACAGACTGACAACATGATCAGAGAAATGAATCGAATCCCCCATTTAGGGTTAAAGAAAACCAAACTCTGGCTGCTGCCAAGTCCCCTGCAATTAGAGATGTCTTTATATTCTCTACTTCAATTCATTCATCATCAAGTCTTCAAATAACATTACACTTTGTGCCCTCTCAGAGCTGGTCTTTGTTTGAGATGGTAAAGGCTCATTTCAGTTCAAAGTGAAAAGCCATGTCTGACCAACTATACCCATTAGGATGAAGCAGGGGATCAACATTAGTCCTATACCTCCTTGGGGAGCCCTAATTCTCAGGCCAAGGATGTGCCTGGACAAACAATCAGCCCAAAGAAAGCCTTCCAGAATATGACTTCATCAGTATTGCAGCTCATTCCCAGTCATCTATAGGGTTTAGAAATACAACACCTGCCGCCCCTTTGAACATCCCAGTGGAAGAAAAAGCCTATCTTACTGCCGGCAAAATGTACTGAAGTATAAAATTATGTGAACTGTCACATAGTCAGGGTGTTAAGTCCAGGAAACAGATTTCAGGTAGAAAACTATCAACCACATGGAGTCAACCTACTTTCAGAAGACTGAGTTCATTGATAGTGAAGGTAGCAAAGGGCAATGCTTAGAAAGGCTGATTGGCTGTGTTGTGCTTATATTCTAACACTTGATTGACTCAAGAATCACATGCAAAAAGTCTCTTAGAAACTAGACAACTCTCTTTCACCATACACAAAGATAAACTCAAAATGGATGAAAGATCTAAATGTGAGACAAGAGTCCATCAAAATCCTAGAGGAGAACACAGGCAACACCCTTTTTGAACTCAGCCCCAGTAACTTCTTGCAAGATTCATCCACGAATGCAAAAGAAACAAAAGCAAAAATGAACTATTGGGACTTCATCAAGATAAGAAGCTTTTGCACACCAAAGGATACAGTCAACAAAACTAAAAGACAACCTACAGAATGGGAGAAGATATTTGCAAATGACGTATCAGATAAAGGGCTAGTTTCCAAGATCTATAAAGAACTTATTAAACTCAACATCAAAGAAACAAACAATCCAATCATGAAATGGGCTAAAGACATGAAGAGAAATCTCACAGAGGAAGACATAGACATGGCCAACATGCACATGAGAAAATGCTCTGCATCACTTGCCATCAGGGAAACACAAATCAAAACCACAATGAGATACCACCTCACACCAGTGAGAATGGGGAAAATTAACAAGGCAGGAAACCACAAATGTTGGAGAGGATGCGTAGAAAAGGGAAGTTCTTACACTGTTGGTGGGAATGTGAACTGGTGCAGCCCCTCTGGAAAACTGTGTGGAAGTTCATCAAAGAGTCAAAAACAGACCTGCCCTACGACCCAGCAATTGCACTGTTGGGGATTTACCCCAAAGATTCAGATGCAATGAAACGCTGGGACACCTGCACCCCGATGTTTATAGCAGCAATGTCCACAATAGCAAAACTGTGGAAGGAGTTCGGTGCCCATCGAAAGATGAATGGATAAAGAAGATGTGGTTTATGTATACAATGGAATATTACTCAGCCATTAGAAACGACAAATACCCACCATTTGCTTCAACGTGGATGGAACTGGAGGGTATTATGCTGAGTGAAGTAAGTCAATCGGAGAAGGACAAACAGTGTATGTTCTCATTCATTTGGGGGAATATAAATAATAGTGAAAGGGAATATAAGGCAAGGGAGAAGAAATGTGTGGTGGGAAATATCAGAAAGGGAGACAGAACATAAAGACTCCTAACTCTGGGAAATGAACCTGGGGTGATGGAAGGGGAGGAGGGCGGGGGTAGGGGTGAATGTGTGACAGGCACTGAGGGGGACACTTGACGGGATGAGCACTGGGTGTTATTCTGTATGTTGGTAAATTGAACCCCAATAAAAAATAAATTTATTATTTTACAAAAATAATAAAAAATAAAGGGTTAAAAAAATGAAATAGGAAAAAAAAAAGTAACCGAGACAAAAGCCCTAGACACAGAAAGACCCTTGAGTTTGTATCTGGTCTCTCAGGCAATCATGCAGCAAATGTTTTCTGGAAGGGCTGTAATGTAACGGCTCAGTTGTAAGGTGTTGAAGAGAGAAAGGTGGTCAAAGCAATGTACTTTCCCCCAGAAAAGAACTTACCAATGAACAAAAACAAGATACCAGTGAGAAAGAGCAGTCTCCACCCCTGCTGTGTTAAGGAATAACACAAAGCTGAGACTCCAGGGAAGAGAAGGAACAGTTTTACTTTTCAACATGAATGAGGGACTCTAAGGTACTCATCTCCTCTTGAGAAAAAAAAAAAAGTAAATACTGGACAAAAGAGGAAACTCTGGCTTGAATGCATCAAACTAACTAGCACAAGAAATAGGAGAACAAGATGGAGAAGAGGGTAGCCTAGGAGAAAGCTAGCCTGGCAGTTGGAACCAATCTCCCCAGGACTTATCAGTAAATTCTGGAACAGGCAAGTGAACTGCAAAGAAGCTGAACAACTTTATAGGCACAGGCTTAGGAGGAAACAAGTGAATCTCAGGGTCAGCCAGCAATGGTGAGCCCTGGTGAAACTACAGGCTTTGGTTTGGACCCAAGAGGGTCACACACAAAAAATCAGGTGAATGGGAAATACCCTGGCCTTCTTAAGAATTGAGCCTGCAATGAATGATCTCAACTGCACACTGGATGAAGCAATCCAGTACTGCTGGCGCCCCAACCTACTTTCCAGAAAGAAACTCCCACTGTTTCTGCAGCAAGAGAATTCTACTTTTCTCTACACATTCTTGACCCAAGTCTCATACTAAACAAATGACCTCATTTAGGGCTAATAAGAACTTGTAATGAGACTGAAACCTAAAGGACAATGTAGACAGACCCAAAGGGGATCCAGGTATCAAAGGGATTAATGCTGTTATGTACTCTCTTCTACCCCAAGTAAATCACACAACAACATGTGACAAGCAGTTAGAAGAGAAAGGAAAAGGCAGGTTCCAGAAATCAAGGTAGGCAAGGCAGACACCAATTCTACTGAATACATTTGGCAAAAATACTGTAGATCCTATTCTAAAAGGAAGACAATTTTCCATACTGGCCACCACACAAATTCATACAACATTATTTGTGACAATTAACACAGGAATATCTTACTCTTCTGCAGCCACTTTTGTCTGTTCATAGAATTCAGTCAAGGTATCCACTCTCTTCTTCAGCTGTTTCAATTCTGCTTCCTTCGTTGTTTTCATGGAACTCAATGCATTGCACTTGTCTTCCAGGACCTTTTTACTGTCTGTAAAGGATGGTTTTCTTCTGTGTGTGTGCACATGACCTGAGAACTTGCTTGTGACGGGGGAAGGAGAAGGGTAATGACCTTCAGGACAGGAAGGCATTCTTTCCCTTCTCAGTGCACACTCGTTGCCACCACATGGGGATATATTTCCCCCAAACCACATACCTTCCAGGTCATATTTCTTGGACCTCAAGACTCTCAGCTCTGGATCTTCAAATTCATCTTGCAACTTAAAGACAGATATGAGAAAAGACATTCAAGCAATCATGATCGCAGAACAATGTGAGTGTACCTAATAGGACAGGATCATTCAGTACAAGAAAGAAAGATCTTGAGCCATAAATGGGAGAGGGTGAAAGTAAGGAAGGTGGAAAATAGTTCAAGTCGAAGAACTCATAAATGGCTTTCCCCTATTCACATTGAAAATTTTATGTTAAGCATTAAGAGAAGGAATGGACTGTATAACTTGGCTAGCTATCACCCTTCATCTCTCAAATATCTTATAGGATTTTCTACATTTCTCACAGGGCAGGGCTGAATGATGTGATAATTGCCTAGCTATGAAAATAAACCATACTTCCTAGTCTTTGAAATAGCAAAACTCATCATAGTGGTCCTAAGTGAAATTCAGCTCACTGTTCAGAAGGAGTGTCTGTTCCCAGATTCCCACTCTCAACTGTGGTAAACAGCAAGCAAATAGGTGCACTCATCTCACTCAATGAACAAAAAGCCTCCCAAGCTACATTATGGTAAAACTCAACAGCCAACACTTTAAATTTTTTTATTTTATTTAAATTAAAATTTTAAAAATTAATTAAATTAACATATATTATTAGTTTCAAAGATAGAATTCAGTGACTCATCAGTTACATATCACACCCAGTACTTATTACATCATGTGCCCTCCTTAATGTCTATCACCCAATTACCCCATCCCCTAATCCACCTCCCTTCCAGCAACCTGAATTTTGTTTCCTACAGTTAAAGTCTCTGCTATCCACGTTGAAGCAAATGGTGGGTATTTGTCATTTCTAATGGCTGAGTAATATTCCATTGTATACATAAACCACATCTGGAACTGGAGGGTATTATGCTGAGTGAAGTAAGTCAATCGGAGAAGGAAAAACAGTGTATGTTCTCATTCATTTGGGGAATATAAGTAATAGTAAAAGGGAATATAAGGGAAGGGAGAAGAAATGTGTGGGAAATATCAGAAAGGGAGACAGAACATAAAGACTCCTAACTCTGGGAAATGAACTAGGGGTGGTGGAAGGGGAGGAGGGCGGGGGGTGGGGGTGAATGGGTGACGGGCACTGAGGGGGACACTTGACAGGATGAGCACTGGGTGTTATTCTGTATGTTGGTAAATTGAACACCAATAAAAAATTAATTTATTAAAAAAAAGTCTCTGCTATCTTGTCTCCCTCTCTGATTTTGTCTTATATCTCGCTCCCTCCCACTATGATCCTGTTTTGTTTCTTAAATTCCACATACGAGTGAAATCATATGATAATCATCTCTCTGACTTATTTCACTTAGCATAATATCCTCTAATACCATCAAGCATTGTAAATGGTAACATTTCATTTTTTGATGGCTAAGTAATATTCCATTATATAAATACATATATATTCCATTATATGTGTGTGTATATATATATATATATATATATATATATATATATATTCATACACTACATTGTCTTCATCCATTCATCTGTCAATAGACATATAGACATCTGGGCCTTTTCCATAGTTTAGCTATTGTGGACATGCTGCTATAAACATTTGGGTGCAGGTACTCCTTCAGATCACTGAGTTTGTATCCTTTGGGTAAATAGCTAGTAGTCCAATTGCTGGGTCATAGGGTAGCCCTACATTTAACTTTTTGAGGAACCTCAATACTTTTTCCCAGAGTGGCTACAGCAGCTTACATTCCCACCAGCAGTGTAAGAAGATTCCCCTTTCTCAGAATCCTCACCAACATTTCTTGTTTCATGACCTGTTAATTTTAGCCATTCTGACTGGTTCAAGGTGGTATTTCATTGTTATTTTGATCTGTATTTCCCTGATGCCAAGTGATGTTGAACATTTTTTCATGTGCTTGTTGGCTGTGCGTAGGTCTTCTTTGGTGAAACGTCTGTTCGTGTCTTCTGCCCATTTCTTGACTGGATTATTTGCCTTTTTGATGTGGAGTTTGATAAGTCCTTTATAGTTTTTGGATACTTGCCCTTTATCTGATGAGAGATTTACAAATATTTTCTCCCATTCATAGGTTGTCTTTTGGGTTTGTCAACTGTTTTCTTTGCTGTGCAAAAAGCTTTTTATCTTGATGAAGTCCAAATGGTTCCTTTATACTTTTGGTTCTCTTGTCTTTGGATACATATCCAGCAAGAAGTTGCTGTGGCCAAGGTCCAAGAGGTTGCTGCCTGTGTCCTCTCTAGGATTTTGATGTTTTCCTGTTTCACATGTAGGTCTTTATCCATTTTGAGGTTATCTCTTTGTATGGTTTAAGAAAGCTGTCCAGTTTCATTCTTCTACATAATGCGGTCCAATTTTCCCAACACTATTTGTGAAGAAACTGTCTTTTCTCCATTGGATATTATCTCCTACTTTGTCGAAGATGAGTTGACCACAGTGTTGAGGGTCCATTTCTGGGTTCTGTATTTGGTTCCATTAATCTATGTGTCTGTTTTTATGCCAGTACCATATGGTCTTGATGATTAAAGCTTTGTAATATAGCTTGGGGTCTGGAATTGTGATGCCACCCACTTTGTTTTTTTTTTTTTCAGTGTTTCTCTGGCTATTGTCTTTTCTGGTTCCATATAAATTTTTACTATTGGTTAGTATCTGGATCAGAATTTTGGCATCCATGTTCATCAGGGATACTCATCTGTAATTTTCCTTTTTTGTGGAGTCTTTGTCTGGTTTGGGGATCAGTGTAATGCTGGCATCTTAGAAGGAGTTTGGAAGTGTTCCTTCCATTTTATGAAACAGCTTCAGAAGAATAGGTATTAATTCTTCTTTAAATAGTTTGTAGAATTCACCTGGGAAGCCATCTGGTCCTGAACTCTTGTTTGTTGGGAGACTTTTGATGACTACTTCCATTTTTTTGCTGCTTGTGGATCTGTTAGGTTTTCTATTTCTTCCTGTTTCAGTTTTGATAGTTTAGATGTTTCTAGGAATGCATCCAGTTCTTCCAGATTGCCCAATTTTTTTTGGCATATAGTTAGTTGTCCATAATATGTTCTCATAATGTTTGTATTTCTTCCATGCTGGTTGTGATTGCCTCTCTTTCAATCATGATTTCATTCATTTGGATCCTTTCTCTTTGTTGATAAGTCTGGCTATGGGCTTATTGATCTTATTAATTATTTCATAGAACCAACTCCTAGTTTCACTGATCTGTTCTACTCTTTTTTTGGTTTCCATTTCATTGATTCCTGCTCTAATCTTTATTATATCTCTTTTCCTGCTCGATTTAGGTTTTATTTGCTATTTTCTTCAGCACCTTTAGATGTAAGGTTAGGTTGTGAATTTCAGACTTTTCATGTTTCTTGAGAAAGGTTTATATTGCTATATATTACTCTCCTAGGACTGCCTTTGCTGCATCCTAAAGGTTCTGAATCTTTTTTTTTCATTTTCATTTGCTTCCATGAATTTTTAAAATTCTTCTTTAATTTCATGGTTGACCCATTCATTCTTTAGTAGGATGTTCTTTAATCTCCATGTATTTTTCTTCCTTCCAAATCTTCTCCTGTGATGAAGTTCAAGTTTTAAAGAATTGTGGTCTGAGAATATACAGGGAATGATTCCAATCTTTTGGTACCAACTGAGACTTGATTTATGACCTAGTAAGTGATCTATTCTGGACAATGTTCCATGTTCACTGTAGAAGAATGTGCATTCCGTTGCTTTAGGGTGAAATGCTCTAAATATATCTGGGAAGTCCATCTTGTCTAGAGTGTCAAAATACTTGTTTCCTTTCAATAATCAACTTGTACCACGTCTGTCTGATTCTTGACTTTCCTCTCTCAGACTGCATGTTAGCAGGTGTACATTGAAGGGTGTAATTTAAGTTTTCATTAACCAGTTCAAATGTTTTGATGTTCTCCTTCAACAAAACATATATTAAATGAGTCATAATTATTCATTACTTACTTGGGGCACCTGGGTGGTATGGTTGGTTGATGTCTGACTCTTGGTTTTAGTTCAAGTCCTGATATCAGAGTCAATGAATTGAGCCCTGCATCAGGCTACACACTCAGCATGGAGACTGCTTGGGATTCTCTCTCTCTCTCTCTCTCTCTCTCTGACCACCTCTCTCTCAAATAAATAAATAAATATATAAATAATAATAATAATAATTCACTACTTTTACTTATGTCATTAGAACACAATTCAAGCAAAGAAGGGTTTATTACCTTCAATTTAGGAGTTTCATCAGAGAGAAACATATTTTCTGTCTCAGTTTCTGATAGATGTTTCTTTGCTTCCCTGATCTATAAAACATATTAAAAAGGAATCAGAATTTAAAAATAGCATAGAGCTAGACAACCTATCTTCTAATGTGTGACTCCTTTCACAAAAAAAGAGGCAGTGCTCTACATCTGTGATGATTATCTTGAATTGATACTGTTTCTGGATCACATGAAATAGGTCAGTAGAATGAACTACCAGAGGTGGAAGTAACTGAAATGAAATCACAAAAAATATTTGAAAGAGTATCTATACCTTCTGCTCCCAAATGGATATTTCTTCAGCAAGTTCTCTGCTTTCTTTCTCAAACCAATTTATCTTCTCAGTTATTTGCTGTAAATTAACTAAAAGGAGAGGAAACAATGTCTAAGATTATTAGCAAAACCAGTGACATCGAATAATTCCAGTGTATTAGCAGCTGAGACCCAGTATCTGACACTTCAGTGTAACTAACTTTTTAGCATTCCCATTGTGACTGAAGAAAGCAAGTTTTCGCAGCATTTGAAACCTAGATGACCTTATTTCAGTGAGATCCCTACTTAAAATATTTTCAAAAATAAAGAAGTGCAATAAAACATCTTCTAATTTTTCTCCCATCTGTAGACACCATTCTTGGAAAATTTAATCACTTTATTTATTTTTTTTTAATTTTTTTTTAATTTTTTTTAATTTAATCACTTTAAATGCTTATGTCATCACCAGAGATGTAAGAGAAAAATCAAGCATCCTATCAACTTACATTTCTCTCCTCCAATGATTAAGGTACATAAATAATTCCTTGCAAACAACCTAAAAGGAACAAAACCATCCTTGACTCCTGGTTTGTGTCACATCCACTTCCAGGTGCTACTTGGAATTCCACACAAGGAAAGCTCAAAATGTCAATTGACTGACTACTCAAAGGCCTTCAGTGACTTCCTGCTGTTCACAGACTTTTATGAACCCTAGGCTGGGGGCTCTGGAGGACAAGGTCTTTGGAATCAAACATGCTTGGGGACAGTCACCACATTACACACAATCCCTGGAGGGCATGGATAACTCACAGTCCCTAGAAGCCAAGCTTTTTTCATCCCAACATGAGAATTTTACCCTCCACCCTTACAGGAAAACAACACTCATGAAGTATCCTATCACAGGTGGATAACACATGTAAGCTCTAGAACTACACAGACTCCTGTAACAGGCATTTAATTCTCTTAGCCAACCACAAAGTACAAACTTCTCTTCTACTGCCTCAGTGTGAGAGCTCTCATGCCCTGAGATCTCTCTTCTCACCACCAGTACTGCGGTACTCAAAGTGAGAAACACCAGCACTCAAGGCTTTGCTAAGTGCCAGGCAGCACCATGGCTCTCAACAGACAGCATCATGGAATCACTACAATCCATGAGGCCCTGAAATAATACGTTACCCCCATTTGCGCATGCTCATTTCCACTCATTTGTTCCCCTGGAAGGAAAGGCTCCCTCCACTGCAGACTCAAACCATGGTTTAAACCTCTCTTGTGACATACACTGCCTGGCAATATCTGGCTTCTTGTCGAAGTTTAGCCTTTTTGATAGAATCAAAGGAGTGTTTTCTAACCTTCACATTTCACCAAGAGCCAAGTCAGGATTCTATTATCACTTGCCTCCTAAACATCTCTATGAAAGATTACAGTCTTTCTCTTCTCCCTACTCCCATAAAATGTTCCTCCTCCTCACCTCTTAAGAGATGGCAACTCCCTCCACATTGTCACTTAGATTCCAAATGGGGAACAGGAAGATTTTCAAGAGTTAGCAAGTCAATTACACATCAGAAGTCACCATATTTAACCCTAGTTAAAACAAGCTGTACTGAGAAAATATTACAAAGAAAACTAAAGCCTAAAATCTTACCTTGATATTCTTGAGGCTCTACCTAAGAGAGGAAGAAACAAAATTAAGTTTGATGTCAAAACATATTATTAGGAGGAAAGCCCAGTCCTGGAGAAGTGAGAACTTTAAAAATCCCTGCTGGAGTTTTCCCTGACAGAAAAGGGCTTAGCAGGGAAATCAGGCAGAACCGCTGGAGGGGCAGTGAAGCCCCCTCCAGCAAGAGCCCCAGAGTCACTATAAGAGGAGGGGAGCCCGGGGGAGGGGGCGGGCAAAGCTCACTGCAAACCACAGTCCAATCTCGGTAAAGGGCTGGAGCACCACAGCCCTCCAGGGCATTCGGGAGAAGCCAGTCGGTTAGGCGAGCCAGCTCTGTACATAGGTGGCTGTCCACTGTCTCCTTCGGGAGAGTCGGTCCCCGGGAGTGTGGGTCCAGCGGCCCAGGGCCCCAGATCCCTGGGCGCCCAAGTGAACAAAGCCGCCAATCCTGCATTTCCCCTGGGACAGGCAGAAGCAGGGAGGGCACAGGAAAGCGAGGACTCTATGGCCACCAGGCCCACCCCCAAGCTGTGCAGATCAGTGCACCTGCACCTGCCCCCGGGAGCATCTAGCCCAGGGCGGACTGGGAGACTGCAGTTAGTTACTTGCAGGGAGCTCCACTCCAGAGCTGGAAATCTGGCTACTGCCATTCTTATTCCTCTTTGTTTCACCGTGTGCCCAGGAGAGGCGGGGCCTCTAAGGAACAAAGGCCTTACAGGACAAACAGCTCATACTGAGCCCAGCACCTGGCAAGGGGGGGGCATCTTCGCCCAGGCACAGACACCTGAGAATCAGCACAGTAGACCCCTCCCCCAGAGGAACTGCTGGAAGAACAAAGAAAGAGCAAGTTTACTGACCAAGTGGCACTGGAAAGCTACAGGACTGAGAGAAAATAGTATATAGAGCTAGAGGGTCCTTTTTTTTTTCTTTTTCTTGTTTCTGTTTTTCCATTATGACTCCATTTTATATCAGACTAAAAATTTCCAATATTTTTTCTCCTTTCCCACGTTAACTACAGTTTTTTACCAGCTCTTCATTTCTCGGCTGGGTACAGTATACTTTATCGATGGTACATGACAAGGTAGGGTTCCACAAGCCTCTCCCCTTCCTCAGGGTCTGGGATGTAAATTGGAGGTCAGGAGATTCTCAGTGTGTTGGGGGATTAATTTGGGGCAGGGACCCCCCAGCAGCTGAGGGCCACTCTCTTCCTCTTGTTCTTGCTGGGGCTGGTGGTTCAGGAGGCTCTTACTCCTTGGAGGCCATGTGGACCATGAGGTCCACCACCCAGTTGCTGTAGCCAAATTCATTGTCATACAAGGAAATGAGCTTGACAAAGTGGTCATTGAGGGCAATGCCAACCCGGCATCGAAGGTGGAAGAGTAGGTGTCACTGTTGAAGTCGCAAGAGACAACCTGGTCCTCAGTGTAGCCCAGGATGCCCTTGAGGGGGCCCTCCAATGCCCCCTTCTTGATATCATCATATTTGGCAGCTTTCTCCAGGTGGCATGTCAGATCCACAACTGGCATGTTGGGGATGGGGACATGGAAGGCCATGCCAGTGAGCTTTCCATTCAGCTCAGGGATGACCTTGCCCACAGCCTTGGTGGCACCAGTGGAAGCAGGGATGATGTTCTGGGTATCCCCTCGGCTGTCATGCCACAGCTTCCCAGAGGGGCTGTCCATGGTCTTCTGGGTGGCAGTGATGGCATGGACAGTGGTCAAGAGGCCCTCCACGATGCCGAAGTGGTCCTGAATGACTTTGGCCAGAGGAGCCAAGCAGTTGGTGGTGCAGGAGGGATTGCTGACAATCTTGAGGGAGTTGTCATACTTCTCGTGGTTCACACCCATCACAAACATGGGGGCATCAGCAGAAGGAGCAGAGATGATGACTCTCTTGGCCTCACCTCTCAAGTGAGTCCCAGCCTTCTCCATGGTGGTGAAGACCCCAGTGGACTCCACAACATACTCAGCACCAGCATCACCCTATTTGATGTTGGCAGGATCTCACTCCTGGAAGAAGGAAATGGACTTCCCATTGGTAACAAGTTTCCCGTTTTCGGCCTTGACCATGCCATGGAATTTGCCGTGGGTAGAACCATACTGGAACATGTACACCATGTAGTTGAAGTCAATGAAGGGGTCATTGACGGCGACAATATCCACTTTGCCAGAGTTAAAAGCAGCCCTGGTGACCAGGTGCCCAATACGACCAAATCCGTTCACTCTAACCTTCACCATCGTGTCTCAGGGATGTGGCTGGCACTGTACCAGAAGATGTGGCTGTCTGTCGAATGGGGAGGAGCATATAGCCCAGCTCTTCATTTTTAAGTTTTTTCCTTTTTGACTTTCATATTTCTACAATTAAATGTCTTAGATATATTTTTCATTTCTGGATTCCCTTCAACGTATTCAATTTAATTTTGGTAGATATACGAGATACAGATTTTTGTTTTTTGCTTTTTCTGCCTTGCTTTGTTTTACAAGAGTGGAAGTTAGTACCTTCTAAAACAGGATGAACATACACCCAGAACCAAGCGGAATACTGTGTTAGTTCATTCTGTGAGATTATATTCTCTCTTTCCCTTCCCATTCTGCCCCCCTATTTATCTTGTTTATATTTTGGTGGTCAATGTTGGGGCTGTCTAGAAGTATTGCTGGTTTATATAAATTTGGGATTGAGCATCTTCTAACATACAGAACAAAATACCCTTGGAACCAAGAGAATCACCTAAAAGGACCCCTCAGGTAGACTACATTCTCTCTCCACTACCACTTCCTCACGACTACCATCTCCCCACCACACCTTTTTTCCTTTTTCCTCTTTTTTTCTTCTTTCTTTTTCTTCATCATGTGTTTTTAATTTTTGGCTTTTTCTACTTTGTATTAAAATTTGTTTTTCACTTCAGTGGTCCTTTTGATTTATTTTGTTCTGTACTTCTTTTTCTTTTATTTTCTGGTCTCTGTCCTCTTCAGAATCATCTAGGGTGTATTTTATTTATGTTGTGGGTGATATTTTTGACTCATCCCACTCATACAGCCACAATGCACTGGACAAAATGACTAGAAGGAAGAATTCACCACAAAAGAAAGAACCAGAAACAGTACTCTCAGCAACAGAGTTACAGAATTTGGATTTGAATACGATGTCAGGAATTCAATTCAGAAGTACAATTATAAAGCTACCAGTTGCTCTGTCAACAAAGCATAGAGGACTCTAGAGATTTCATTACTGCAGAATTGGGATCTAATCAGGCCAAAATTAGAAATAGATTAAATGAAATGCAATCAAAACTGGAAGTTCTAACTGCTAGGTTTAATGAGGTGGAAGAGAGCATGAGTGACATAGAAGACAAGTTGATGGTAAGGAAGGAAGTTGAGGTAAAAAGGAAAACAATTAAGAGCCCATGAAGAAAGGCTTAGGGAAATAAATGATAGCTTCAGAAGGAAGAATATAT